AAAAAACGGTATGTGTATACATAATACTCTTTCTTACACACACTAAACTTTCTAAAATATAAAATAAGTTTATACCACAAAACAAACTTGAGACAGAAATGTCACAGTTCATATTAAAACAGTGAAAAAAAATTCACATTTTTGCGACCATAACAGTTGTTCTGTCTGTTGCAGTGGGAGGAAATCAGTGTGATGGATGAGAGGAACACCCCCATGCGCTCCTACCAGGTGTGTAATGTGATGGAGGCTAATCAGAACAACTGGCTACGCACTCGCCACATCCCACGAGATGGAGCGCAGCGCGTCTACATCGAGATTAAGTTCACCCTGCGTGACTGCAACAGTCTGCCTGGAGTCCCTGGCACCTGCAAAGAAACTTTCAATATGTACTACTATGAGTCCAACAACCCCAACCTGTGGTTTATCAAGGAGAGCCAGTACATAAAGATCGACACTATTGCGGCCGACGAGAGCTTCACGCAGACTGATGTGGGTGATCGCGTTATGAAACTAAACACTGAAGTGAGGGACATCAGTAACTTGAACAAGAAGGGTTTCTACTTGGCTTTCCAAGATGTTGGAGCCTGCATCGCCTTGGTGTCCCTGAGGGTCTTCTATAAGAAGTGTCCTCTTGCCGTTCTGAACTTGGCCCAGTTTCCCGACACGGTGACTGGAGGAGATTCAGCATTGGTGGAGGTTAGGGGATCTTGTGTGAATGACTCGGAGGAGTTTGAGGCGCCGAGGATGTACTGCAGTGGAGATGGTGGATGGCTGGTGCCCATTGGACGCTGCGTCTGCAAGCCAGGCTTTGAGGAGAACAAGGACTACTGTCAGCGTGAGTTTTCTATGCAGCATTTTTTTACTCCTGTATTGGCAACTTTTGATATACAGTGGACTTAAAAAGTATTTAGACACTTTTGTGCTTTCAAGTTACACTTTAAAATGTAGGGATGCACAATATATCATGTTTTTATTGCCCGATATTATACTTTTAATCTTTTTTTATTGATATTTAATAAGATATTTAATTGTGCATGCTATTTCTTGAATTTAACTCTTACATAAAGTTAGCCTTTAAAAGCACTATAAATTTAATAACACCTTAATGTAATCTGTATTAAATCTCAAAACATATATCCATTTTTCTGTATATTATAATGTTGTGATGCTTAAATTCACTTGTAGTTTTTAGTATTTTATTTTTGATTTATTTAGACACAATAGTATAGAATTTTAATATCTGCCATCAGCCATAACATGAAGATAATTTTCAGCTTATTGGTATTGGACAGAATTTTAATATCACTGCATCCCTATTAAAAAGTCATTGCATTACATAGAAATATCAATCCGAGTGGCATTTGCAAATGATGTTAGACCTATCTTTTCTTTTGCAAATACTTTATACAAATACTAAATGAATGCTGCTTGGCTTTATGTTTTGTTACATAATGAAATTACATTCATGTATGGCTTAGGTGTCCAAATGCTTGTTGGGGTCACTATATAATAAAAAACATGTTTTTCTGACTTTATTTGGCAATTTATTTGATAATATGACACATTCTGTAGTGATGAAACTCAGAAAATATCCGCAATCTGTTTTTGTTTTTTTAGCAGTTGCAGTCCCTTTGTTTGCTTCAGAAGTGAGCATGTATGCATGTGTTTGTGAGCGAATGCAAATAAGTTTGCAAGTAGAAAGTTGAAAGTAGCAGAGGGCTTCAGTGACTCATTCAGATTCACTCTGTGCCTTGTTTCCCTGTGTTGGGGAAGGTAGTTGTGCTCCAGGATACAAATTATTGAGACATAGCATTCCACAGACTGTTCTGTTTACTGTTTACTCTGTAAATCCATAGGCCTTCAGCACACAGTCTAACATTTATTCAACAGTGTGTGTTCGTTGGATGAGCAAAAGTTGTCTGCAAAAAAATCTAATCCAGCTGTTGAATTAAATTATTTTTTAAATGTGTTTGCTTTTTGCTTCATTTAAAGCTAGTGTAATAGTACCTCAAACCTCAGATCTTTTTCATTCGTTGGGTTAATATTGAAGCAATACAGTTTGAGAGGCCATGCAGCTAAAGGGTGTTGTTTAGCACTATTCACAATATAACCTTTTTTATGTTTACTACAAAATACATTAAAATTAATACATTTTCATTAAAAGATTATTTTCCATTATTCAGATAGTTCTAGAACTTTCAGTATAGTCCCTGACATGTAAGCTAATGGTAAAGGCCTTTATGGCTATAGGTGGCGAAGAGGTGTTTTGAGTCATACGTTTGGATTTGCTGTATTTATTTTAGATCTGTTTTTATTTGATCTGCTGAGATCGTACTGGCTTCAATTGCTCCTAATTCATCTTGCATTGTTCTTTTGCTGTTTTGATTTGTGTGTACCCTGCAAACATGTTGGAACATAAAAAGGAAATATCTAGCAACCCACACAGCCCTCACAGGCTCAGACCTCTTGTTGACTGAAACTCCTACTTATTTTTATTTATTTGCATGTGGCATCATTATAAAGTGCACGTTTGTTTTATTAACTTTGAGATCTGGGACGGCTGTGGAAGGTGGAGTGGAAGCGAGGAAAGCATGACGGGCTCCTGTGAGTGTAATCGCGGGGCTGTTGTTCTCTTTCTTTGTGCATTTGGCTGTTTCCCATCTAATGGCTTCTGAGTGGCATCATGTTGTTTGCTAATGGGTAAGCTAGAGCGACACAGAGGGACCTGCTGAGGAGCTAATGACAGCACCTTCATGATGAAGCGTTAGCAGACTTCACACCACTTTCAAACAGATATGATCTCCATTTTTCTGGAGCTCCTTTGCTATGTATTTTACGTTAGCTTGTGCTAATTTCATAGTGCAGTAGTTAAGTTGATCATACATCCTCTTTTTCCTAGACATGTCCTGGCTGGGATTTCTAAAAT